TGGGTTAACGAGTGGCTGCTTGTTTTGGTGTCAGAATGTGTGTGTATCTTCCTGGGGGTTAGGCAGGGTTTTTTCTTCTATTGAGATGTTAATGAGTGGCTGGGGGGGGGGGATAGTAAGGTCATTTTGGGGACTGGTTACACGGCCTGGGCACATCATCCTGGGCACAGAGAGAACTGCTCCTGTCTGTGCTCCTGCTCTCTGAAGATGCCGGTCACAGATGCTGGCAGATGCTGGCGAAACGTTAGGAAACAAAACTTCAAGAACACGGCCACACAGCCCGGAAGACCCACACCAGCCATCGTATGCTGGCCGTGAAAGCCTTCGACAATACAACGTAGATGAAATACCTACTAAACTGTTTAAACCTGCAGAAGAAACAGATAAGGTACTAAGAACTTTACTTCAATAAATGGAGAACAAGACTATGAGGCCTAGAGATTGGAAAACATAACTGTATAGAAATAATGAATCACTGCCTTAATTCCTCACACAAGCAAAATTTTGCTTAAGATGTTACGAAGAAGAATAAAGTTCCATATGGAGAGAGAAATGCCAAATCAACAGGCAATTTCAGAAAAGGCAGAGAGACATGAGATCAGATAGCTAAAACAGGATGGATAGTAAAGCTAACTAGAGAATTTAAGGTGTCTTACCTCTGCTTTATTGATTACAACACAGCTTTGACTATATGAAACATGCCAGAATGTGAAATATATTAAAACTAATGGTTGTACCAGAACATCCAATTATTCTTCAGACGAACCTTTACAATGACAAAGAAGCTATTGTAAGAACTAAATCTGGAAAAAAAGTTGTTCAGAATTGGGAAGTGAGTAAGAAAAGGATGCACACTGCTCCCATATCAGTTTAAACTATACAGAGAATCTACTATAAGAATAGGAAAGGAAGGCAGTGGGATGATCATGTGGCGGGCAGGCTGATGGAAGAGAGGGAAGAGCGGACACAACACACATCAGCCTTGTCCTACTCACCCATTCAGATTTTGTTTTGTTTGAAGCCTGGAATAACCAAATCATTTCTCATTTCAGTTCTGCTGAATTATGACTGGCCTAAAATTATTTAGCGGAACATCCAGAATGTGATGGCTTGTTCTGGATTCAAAACAACATTTTTTCTCTATTGGGCACACCCCTATCATTGAAATAAAAATGAGACGTGAAAAAAAATATGGGTTAATATGAAATACTAAGAAAACAAAGGCCATGTCAATTGTGTACATATAGCTGAAAGCTGAAAGAACTGAAGGGGGTAGATAATTTTGGAGTTTGGAGTCAAGAATAAAGATGGACAGTGTACTACAGAAGTAAAGAGTAGATTAATCCTAGCAGGAAGGCAATGACAAACTTTGACAACATCATGAAAGATAAAGATATGAGCAATGTTTTTTTCAGCAGTAATGTACAACAGTGAATGCTGGACATTAAGGAAGAGTGAAAGAAGATAGATGAGGATTATGGATTTGGAGACAGTTTTTAAGAGTACCGTCTTAAAAACAGTACAGTTAAAAAGAAAAATGATCAGCACAGAATACTTTGGGCATATGGTATGAGTGGATGATGGACCATGGGAGGGGGAACTTGATTTGGCAACATTGAAGAAAGTAGAAAAAGGGGAAAATATCAATTAAGTGGATAGATGGCATTAAGGAGGTAAATGAAATGTCTTTGGAAGAGCTACGGGTTACTACTTGGTTCAAAAGTAAGATGGTTCAAAGACCTCAATTTATTCTTCTGTCAAAAAATTTTCCAGTAGTCAAATTTATCTAAAAAAATTGCAAATCCATCATTTCACCCTCAAATGTAATTTGCTTATCAATTAAGGTAATTCCAGAATTATTTACTAATCCAGCATATAGATGAATGTATGGAGGGCATCAAATTGGGTAGAGAACAGGGCCTTACAGGCAGCTCCATCCTTTTCTGATCTTCAGCAGTTCAGCTGGAAAACTCAAGTCAAAGTTACTTGTTTGAACATGAGTGAATAAACCATAATCCTGCACTGCATGGAAAGCTGTACTAACACTCAGGTCAGTGTGAGCACTGCTCCCCTTCAGATATTCATGTTACAGAAACTGGGGAGAGTAAGAGAGTATGTTCATACCATACTCTATCCAGTTTGAAAGCTTTTATGTATTCAGCTGAACACTTGAACAGCTGAAGGATTCTAGCACAATTGTAGTTTTGTGCAAGAACTACCATCAGGCATCCCACTTCACAGAGCTCTCAGGCTCATACACTGAGATATATATACAAGCAATACACTGCCACTGAGTGACTGATACCAATGTACTTACTCTCTAAATCTTCGGCTATGGATTTTGGGAAAGCTGGGTTTCAACTGTGATGGAGCAACGGAGTTTTGCATGGAGCCACTGAATTCTGTACATTTCAAGTCCACTTCTGAACTACCCTGGGTCAAAATTACTGGATCCACTGTGGCTTCCTTTTCATTTTCTAAGTTAAATGGAAGTTGGATACACAAATGGTTATTTTTTTTAATTGATCAGAAGCCTCAGAGCTATTATTGTAGCTAATTTAACTCAGTTCAAATCTACTAAGTAATTATTAAAGTGAAACTGGCATAAAATTTACATGCCACATAATGAGGAGACATTACAGAAAGGATAGCCATTCATTCCCAGAGCAGGACATTTTACATGTTTCTACTTAAAGTTTAAGCAATCTTTGTATCTAGAACAAATAGTTAACACTTAAAATAATTGTATCACCACAATCCTTCAAAGGCAATATGCTTCATACTTATAACTAGTGAGTTTAAATAGAGAGCAGATCAATCCCAAGTAGGAGGGCACTCAACCCTATAGGCCTGAAAGCCAAACTGAACAATAACCATGCTATTTTCCAAGCACCATTACTAACAATGTTGTTTTTCTTACTTTATTCTATGTTCTCATTGCATTTTACATTGTATTTAATTTATTGTTAAACTTTGTATACTGCTTGAGAATGGTCCAAATAATAAGTGACACATATATATTAAACGTATATTAATATATATATTAAGTGTGTGTGTGTGTATAGTTAATAGTTATATTTAAAATTAAAGCATAAATACAAATAAAGTAATAACTCTTCCTCATAATTCCAAGCTCTTTATGTTACAAGAGGAGCTAATTCTTTTCATTTCCTGTTTTAAGCTGAAGAGTGCCTCTTGCATGTAGAAAACCTGGCAATCCTAGATGCCAAGTAAGATGTAAGCATGGTGAAATGAAGACCAAACCTTGTCCACTGCAGTTTTTAACTATCTGATTTCTCACAAATATACTAAAGCCTCAGAAGTGGCAATTATATCTGCAAAAGGAAGATGAGAATTTTTAAACAAGATTTTTTGTGCAAACTGTAGGAAAAAGTAGCTGTCTAGGCTTATATGCAGTAGCAGCTGTGTCACAAGCAATGCCACACTAATTATTCATTAGCACAATTTAAAAAAAAATCATGCCCTACAAACACCTGGAACTGATTGGTTTCAGATGCCCACTGTACCTTCTCTGGAGGTTTTACAATGTGCCTCATCATCAAGAATAGATTCTGCACTCTGCTCAACAGTATCGGTATTCTTTGGCGTAGCCATCTGTTCTAAAACGAGTTGCTGTTTCCGCTGTTCTCTCTCTTTCAAAATAATCTTAAAAGGAAAATACTTGCATTATTCCTTTCCCCTAATAAAGTTAACTGGTCCCTGAAATATTAGCCGACAAAATTTAACTACTTTATAATCCTTTTTGCCTGAATTTCCATTAAAAGTGGTAGGGCAAGTGGGTAGATTTTAAAAATGTGGGGATATTGAATTCCTGTTCAACTTGTTCAATGGGATGGGTTGTAATGGATGCTTTTAGTAATGCAAGCTTCTAGAGATTCCCATTAGATCAGAATTTATTCATGTTGACCCACCATTGGCCAAAAATCTAGAGGGGCAGTTGTCCAAATCCCTGAGATAGAACAACGGCTCTCTTGGCAGTTCAAGAGCAAAGGAGGAGTTGGCTGGAGGCTTTTTCTTTCTCCTTTTCTGGGGGAGAGAGGAAGAGAGGAAGAGGAGAGGAAGAAGGAAAAGGGAGGGAGGGAGATGTCTGATGCTCTCTGACAGCTTCCTACAAGCAAAGTCAATGGGGAAGCTGGCAGCAAGTCGTAAGTTGCTCACATTCCCACTGCTTTTTTGCCCTTGGTCATTCTGTTTCTGTTTAGGTAAGGAAATAGTTCTGAAATGATGACCCAACAGGTCATAGGTTGTCTAGTACTTGAATAAATGGTTAGATGAGTGTACCTTTTTTAGTGATGTTGGCTTCTTTGGCTTCGGGACTTCTCTCTGCTTCCCCTTCTTGACCAATGGAGCACTAGAGTCCAAAGGATTGTGTGGAGTCTTTCCCTGAGTTAACTGTGGAGTTTTTGTTACTATCACAGATTCCTTTGAGGGCAATGTTACTGCACCACCAACTGAAACAATGCAAATATATCATGTGATGGAAACTTAAAATCTGAAATCATTTCTTAGATTGGAGTATAATTCAGATTTAGCATTGAACTCAGCACATGAATGACACATGAACTCAAGAATGTGTAACAGAACACCCTCTTTTCCTTATGTAGCAATACATCTACTACTATGCAATTCACCAGCCTTCTCTTGGGAACATGGTACTTTTAGAAAAATAAGTTGCTGCAATTTCTTTTGGCCATTTCCTACCAATTTTAATTAAAAGTAATTAGTTCTGTTTATATCATTGCTAGTTTTTTAAATGGCAAAATACTATGGTTTGCTACTAAATATATCTGTTTTAGAATCATATCTAGGCAATGTTACTAAATTCTCTTGCACCTTCATCTACCCCACTGCAGATTCTGTCTTGTTCTGGCAAGTGTTTAGGCTTAGTTTTGTCCTTATTACTGCAAATAAACCAGTTTGGTAGTTTAATACTAAATGTTTAAATGGCATTTAAGAAGTCATGCAGCTTTTGTATTAAACCTCAGTGAAGTCATTACCACCTTACTGTACATTTCAGATCTAAGAACAAAGCCTGACCAAATTTATTGTAATACCTTGTATGATATATTCAGACTGTTTCCACAAACCTTTTGCTGATTAAGAGCAGCTTTATCTTTCACATCCATCCAGTTTTTAAATTACCATAGTGACATAAGGCTCACATTATAAGCCTTAAAAAGCCCACAGAAGCCTCATCAAATAACAGAGAAGTGCTATGCTAGCCCAAGGTATGATGCCCTTGTGTATCATTTTTGAAATTGCACAGCTTTAATATAATTATATGAAAACTGAAAAATCCACAATGTCCATATATTACAATTTAAAAAGTACATTACTATAATTTCAGTTACAGTGTTCATAATTTGAAATGTTTTGCACTCCATTAATATTATATTTGTACAAATCTCTGTTAGACTTCAACATTTTAAAAATCCCTATATCCTAGAAACCAGGAGAGTATGAGTTCTAGTCCCGCCATATTCATGAAAGCCAGCTGGGTGACTGGGCCATTCACTCTCTCTCAGCCCAACCCACCTCACAGGGTTATTGTGGGGAAAATAGGAGGCAGGAGTATTAGATATGTTCACTGCCTTGCGGGATAAAATAATAATAATAATAATAATAACAAACAACAACAACAACAACAGCAGCAGCAGCAGCAGCAGCAGCAGCAGCGATAGTACCGATAGTTATAGGTGCCTTAGGTGCAATCCCAAAACTTCTGGAGCACCACTTGAACACCATCAGTGTTGCAAAAGGCAGCTTTGCTGGGAACAGCTTACATCCTGCGATAATACCTTTAACATCATCAAACAACATCTGCCTATCCCAAGTCCTTGGGAAGGGCTCGATAGGTGGATAAAAATGCCAAATCCAGACTAAACAACTGGCTCTGTGCAGATCATCATCATCATCATCATCATCATCATCATCATCATCATCATCATCATCTCCCTTTCTCTGGGATTTTGTTTTGTGAACTATACTGAATTCTTTCAATAATTACATCACCTTAGAAATAATGAACTACAAAATTAAAAAAAAGAGTGATAGATTTGAATGGCATCATCTAGAGAAACAGTGTCAAAAGCATACCTGAAAGCACCACAGGTTTAGGTGACTGCTTTAATTTTTCTGCATGGTGTTTTTCTTCCAAAACAGCCAGCATATCTCCTAAATCAAGCTGCACAGGAATCTGACTCTTTTTTCTATTGCTCTTAGATGGTTCCTGTAGGAAGTAAAAAAAAATAAATTCCCCCATTCCAAATTTTAGCTAAGAAACATTTTTATCCAGCAATATTAATGTTTAGATAAACACTGCTCACAAGCAAGTTAACATAATACAGAAAGGACAACTCCACCTGCATTTTCCTTTTTTCTACTGGAGCTGGTGAATTCTGTTTTCCTATTTTTCTTGTTGAAGATACATCTGGCTTGGGAGTTACTAATTCCTTTGGAGAATGGTCACGAGACTCAAACCTAGAGATCCTTGGGATTACCTTGGAAAACAGAAATACAAAGAAAAAGCTATGTAGGAAAAAGAAAAGCATGGCTCTCAGTTGAGCATTCTAAATAAGGTAGTCCTCATTAAGCAACTGACTCGTTTAATGAACATTCGCAATTACAATAGGGATGAAAAATTAACTTTGTGACCAGTCCTTGCATTTATGACCTTCACAGGCCTATAAAGAAAGGAAAGCTGAAGTAAGAACATAAGCACAGTTGCGGTTTCACTTGGTGACTACTTCAGTTAATGACCAAGTTGCTGGTCGCTAAATGAGGACTACCTGTAGGTTTTAAAATCTACTGATCTAAGTTCTTATGAGCTAACAACCTTCAAATTGTGAGTAAACTCCAAAATTATCATGACAGGTTTGGATTCAAGTGGTATTCCATGGATGCTTTCATTTGTGCATCTATTCCTGCTTCAGTTCTTGAGTCTTATATCTCTCTCTAAGTCATATATGACAGGATTGTCAATCCCATCTTGCATGCATGGGGATGCCTTTTGTTCACACAAAGGACTTTGGGTACCAAAGCTTTTCTAATACATCTAGGATAGCCATTCTTAATGTACTGAAGCCAGGAAGCAATTTTGAGACATAATGTGCACGTCTCACAAAATGTCTTCTACGAGTACTTGCCTATTCACAAAATGGTCACCAATGTAGACATAAAATGTCACAAAACACCCATTTATGAAAATGCAAACCAGCAAGGTTATTTTCCCAAGGTTATTTTCTAATGCTGCAGCTTCCTACTATTTTTATTGTCTAAAAATGCTTATGAGGAATTATGTAGTCTTCAAATATTTTGGTAAATAAAGATGAAACTGGTGCTTTCTATCATATCACCTTCCTGTCTGTTTATTGGATTGCAGGGGAACTGGTGGGGTCAAGGGAAACTTCTGTTAGTATATCTTCCTCTTATTTTTAAACGAATTTCTTTGTTATGACTGAAATAATAAGTCCACTTTTCACTACATTTAATACACTTCAGCAAAGTGCTCAGGACAGATCTGAAATGAAACAAATCCCAGCCAATAAAATAAATAAAAATAATGAATACCCATTTAAAAATGAAGATGGAGACAAATAATAACTCTTACTTTAGTCTTCTCAATAATAGGTGTTACACAAGTGATATTTTCAGTTGCTTGTTTATGTTTTCTATCAAAAGCAGCTGCTAAGTCTGGGAATTCTTCAGCATCCTGAGTAAATCAAAGTAAATTGTTAGAGTAGATATGGGTAGGCAACAATTTATTTATTTACACATACAATTTAGAGACTGCCCAACTCCTGAGGATTCTAAGTGACTTACAATTTAAAAAGGAACAATACAAAAAAACAGAAAAGAAATCATAAGTGGCTCAAAGACAAACATATAAACAAAAGACCTATCCAAAAGAAGCTCAACCACTATCCTACCCCAAGTTCTGGGTAGACAGCTAGGTCTAATAGCTTCCTGAATATCATCAGAGTAGGAGCCACCTGGATCTTCTTTCTGAAGCCAACATAGCCTTTTCTAATCATGCTGCAAATATTGGCTATATGTTTTACCATTTTTATGTGGGAAACACAAACGGTTAGATAAGCCCTAGAACAGGTTTAAGACACAAAAGACAGAAAAAGCCTAGAGTACCACCATTGAAACTCAAACTGAAGATCAAAGGCCTATTCATGTGAATGATACAGTGGCTTTGGCCACCAGATGATTTATCTCTGGTTTAAGCTATACCACACTATCCTGAACAGACACATTTTCCCTAGAACCAGAGTTCCTCTTCCCTCTCTCTCATTATGGAATTATGCCAGGTTCTAAATTTAAGCATTTTCAAAATTTTAAGCAGTTAAGCATTTTCAAAAACTTTTATTTCAGTGAGGGATTTAAGAATGTGCAGCTGAAATCAGTTGGAATAACAAAGTGATCTGCTCTGGTCAATTCATCCTATATATTCTAGTCACATTTTAAGATGAACGTTCCAGTGGATTTTACTAAGGTAAGGGCATCAAGCAAAGCTACTCTCTCTTGTTCTCTATTTTTAGTGTGTGTGTATTTATTTGTTCATTTATTTATTTCTTCACATTCAGAGAGGAAAACAAATGTTGATAAAGATACTTTCAAATCTTTAGTGGAAATAGTACTAATCCAAAAGTTATAAAGAAAAACAATTATATATTAGTTTATCACTTAAACTGTAATTCTACTTAATAGTGCCTTATAATGTGACATTTGTAAGAAGATTGTGATTTTCTCCATTTGCAGCATCACTATTACACACAGCACTAAAAAGTAAAATAAAAAAGGCAGAGCTTTATTTTAAATAGGATCTGGCACTTTAAATGACTAATGGAGAAATCTTACACTAAAACCTAGAACTTAGGGTTAATTTTTATTTTATGTGATCTTGGATTTTTACATGAAGGTTACCCAAGTTGATCCTACTAATTATTCTTAATGGATATATGTTATCATTTCCTATGATGGGAAAATTCTATCTTGTTATAAATCACAATTACTTTTATATTTTTTAAAATTAAAATAGGTTGTAATTCCTTCATAGACACATAAACAAATAATTAGTTGTGTCAGATAATTAGCTTTAGCACCTCAATTCTTGGAGGTTCTTGAACTAAAATGTTCTGGGTGTGAAGCTTGTCTACTTCACTGCATGATCTGGCTTTCTTTTTCTTCTTCTTCTTCTTCTTCTTATCTGCTATTTCTTCAAGGTCACTTGCATTTTCTTTTGTTTCTGATTGCTGTATAAGAAGAAGTAAATAATTTCTTAGGAAAGGAATAAAACAATTTCAAGATTGTACTGTAGAATAAGGCTTCAAGTTTAGTCCATAAGATGAAATTGTAATCACCTACCCTTAAATACAATTCAAAGCTCTTAGTCTCACATAGTGAAAACATGTTTTCCTACCTGGAATCACAGGTAGGAAAATGACTCCCTATGTCATAACCCTGTCCTTCTTCTAGCAACTCTGCTCAGTTTCACAACGTGAATATAAATGTATCTTAGGCCTATACTAAGATATAAAAATCAGGATTTTCTTCAAGATTAATAGGAAGACATTTTAATTAAAAGAATAGAAAACAGTCTAAAAAAAATTAAAAGCGTGCTGTAAGGAATGAAGAGATATAGACAGAAGAAGAGATATGTGGTAGAAATCAAGGAAAGTTGATCAGGAGAGTGATTATGCACAGAAAAAGAATGAAAAAAAACATGGATTATTATTCATTTAAAACACTTTTTATCCACTTCCATTAACAAATATTCTAGAGAAATAGATTTTTTATTATTATTTAAGACAAAAATACTATTCACGTGTTGGGCTCCTTCCTCTTACAAATACATACATTTAAATATTTTATACTCCAGGGTCTGTAAAGTTCTGGTTAATTATAAAACAGTAAAGGAGCTTGGAAACTAATCTTCATACCTTATAGTCTTCAGGAACATTATCTGTTTTTTTACTTCCAGAATGATTGCTTGCAAGAACTGAAGCTGGAACTGAAACAACTTTTTTGGGAGTTTGTGACAGCATAGTGGCCCAAGACAAGGGTGTCTCAGTGAAAAGACCTGAGTGTGCCTGAGGAACTGAGAATAGACAGAATGTACTGTTCAAACTTTCTAAGTAATATCAACCACTAAAGTTCAGCAAGATGCACTTTAATAGGCTGTGACAAGTTTTCTATGGAACCCTTTCCAAAGGAGCCGTTTGGAGATGTATTCCCCCTCCTCCAAAAAAAAGTGTTATTCCATTTGAACAGATAATTCTTTTGCATACAGTTAAGGACAGCCTGACATGTAAATATTAATAAATGCTCTGTTTACATATTGGACTGTAAAATTATATATGAAATCATGATTTGTATTTTATATACAACATGAAAAATGGATATCCTAGATGGTTGTTATATACTTCAAAACAGACTGATCACATTTATGGATATTTTATCCATAGAATGATGGGATTTTAAGCACATTATTGATAAAGTAAGGACTGGAATGTGAATTAGTGCTTTAAATTCTAAAGAAGCAAGATACAGCATCAACTTGAAGCCAGGTATATTATGCTGGATAGTGCTTACCTCCAGGATCTGATGAAGAACTTAAGGGTCTTGCTGGGAAATGCTTTTTCCGAGATACTTCACCCTACAGTAAATATTAACATATTCAGTTGAAAACATGCACAGCATAATTTAAAAATAATTTATTACACGCACCACTACTCAGAATCAATCATTAATTCAGTAACCTCACCACAATAATAAATAAAAGAATAGTTCATAATAAAATAAAAAGCTGGTCCAGAGTAGCTTTAGTTGTTGAAGAAAACACCTTGTTCCAATAAAGGAACTCTTCAAGGTCTAGTGTGCAATTTACGTACAATGGAAAATCCTATTTAGTTACATTTAGTTACCAATTTACAAGAGCCACTGAAAATAAAATACAAAAAATATATTAAAAAAAGTTTTAAAAAACTGCCAGACAGGAATAAAAACCTTATCCCCTTAAATTTGCCAAGAGCTAAACTCATATTTAAAATCTTTAACTCTCATATACAGAATTTGTTGGGAATAGGTGGTTTATATTTTGCAAACTGGTCATTATTACTTATAACTGTGAATTTCCTATCTATTTGTATCTAATAAACGAAGCTAAATTTAAACAAGAGTGAAAAATTTAAAAGGGACTGGAGAAATTCAATCCCTTAACTCAGCTGAGCAAAACTTTTTGAAAAAAAAACCCCTATGGTTGAACTTTAATGTATTAGGCCCATTTAACACAACCACTGTTATGTAAGAGAGTACACCAAAACTCACGTTTGACCAATATATACTGGGCTATCTAATTAAAATATATTTAGCAAGTATGAATTGTTAATATTTACTACCCACTTGATAGTCCAGAGAACGTAAGCTATATTAATGCATTCAATGCATTGCTCCCATTGTGAGACTACAAAAATTACTACAAAAAGGAGGAATGAGCCAACCCATGCAAAAACCATTATATAAATACACAATTAAGTGTAATAAGAAATATTAAATCATTTTTAGTTGCCAACCCAAGTCTTCCTCTTTATAAGTATAAATCAAAATGTCTTTTTGCCTTTTTTTCCCAAAAAGAATCTTTTATAAGTAACATACAAAATAATTTTCAAAATGAAATAGAAATGCCATTTTAGGAAGACTTAGAGGAACATTTTTAGTAGCTAAGAATTCAGTTCCAAATTTTCTCTAACATGCAATGGGAACTGACATTATTGGTGAGACATATTTATATTCCTTTTCCCTTAATAGAAATTGGCAGCTGTACTAATCAGCAAGTAGTTTCACATCAACACTTCAATGTTCAACACTCCAAAGACTATTGAGTAGCTAACCTCTTTTGTTTTGTTTGAAATTGCAAGTTTTCCTGGAGGTGTCAGAGGCAGCTTATCTCCTTCTGCTGAGCCCACTGGTCCCCATGCAGGTTTTTGAAGATTCAGAAGATGGTTACTTTCTAGGTCTTGTAGTTTTGGGAAATCTGACAGGGTCATTTCAAAGGTAGGTTCTGGAAAATGCTCAGTGTTTGGAATTTGCTTGAACTTCCTATTTGTAACTTTAACAGGCCTATCTAATTTAAAACAAAATGCAAATGCTAATGGTTACTGTTTTCAATGACATGTAATCAGTTTATTATATTTAACAGTTATTATATATAGGCCAGGTCCTGCAACAAAATATTTAGTTCAAGATGCTGCGTTCTACCACCCTGCATTCTATCTTGATTTTCATCTTTCCCCAGCCAAGTCAGCTAATGATTACATGTCCACTAAGCATGCTCAGTCCTAATTAGATTTCCCCCCTTCATTTCCCCTCCTTTTTGATTTAGGTGTCTATTTGCAGATGCACACGATTGTGCCCTTTTCCAACGACATGAAAATTCTTATTTCTTTTTCTCAAAAATTTCTGTAGTAACTTCTTTGTTCCATAGAGAGAACATTTTAGAATAGTTTCTCTGTGTGAATGGGAAAGTGCTGCATTTTAACAAAACTTTAAAGGGCCAAAACTATTTGTTGCTCTAAAAAACAAATAGTTTATGATGCCTAAACTTATGTAACAATGACTTAGAAAGAAATCTAAGAACATATATTATCTGAAAGTGATCTCACTATGTATTCTGGCCTCTTTTTTTTTTTCAATCGTGTAAATCAGTGTACCAGATTTAATAGGATTTCTGCTATGCAGAGCAATATAAGATGAATTTTCTGTTGATCTGCTGGTAAAATCACTTCCATTAGGCCTTTTATTCTCCAGTCTAGTTTCATTATTTTCCAGTCGTCTCTGTACAAAATAACAAAGAAAAACAATACATATTCCAATATGATTTTCCTAAATTACTTCCTTGTTTATTCCACTTATATCCTGACTTTACAGTTATTCAAATACTCAACAATCACTAACATAAAACATACAAAACAAAATGAACATTAAAGAAAAACAAAGATTACACCTAAAGGAAAGATATCGCCAAGAGAGCATATTTCTTACTGGGAGTAATGCAGAAGGCGGCCATTGTGCCTATATCTATTAATCAGGCCTTGGAGAGAGAGGGCATACAGTTGAGCCTCTCCTGCAGATCTTAATATTCAGACATGTTCATATCAAATAGTCTTCTAAACATTAAAACCTTTAAAAAGGTTAATACCAACGACTTAACTTCTGCTCCGAAAACAAATTGCAGAAATACAGATCCAGGTATACGATTCAAGTATTGGCTAGCAGCTTAGCTGCTGCGTTTTGTATTAACTCAGGCTTCTGGACTCTTTTCAAGAATAACCCTATGTAATGCTCTTTGCAACAGATGCATTGAAATACAAAGCAAGACTAAGGGTTACCAAATCTGATGGTTTTAGGAATGGTCACAGCTGACATAGTGGACCTAACTGTGCAAACATGCTCTTCATCACAGCCAAAACTTGTGAATCCAATGATAGCTAAGGATTAGAAAGCATGCCAGAATGAGGACTCCTTTTACTCAGTTGGAATGCAAGGTCACCCACTGCAAGCTAAACCTCAGTACCCAGATTGGGGTAGCTATTAACCAGCAGAACATCCATCTGGTTTTCATTTAGCTGATTAGTTGATAATCAGCTTAGGCAATGTTCAACAGTACTGACTGCTTCTTTGGACGTGGAGAGCAAGAACCAATAGAAGGAGAATGCAGAAAGACCGAAATTAGCTGTATAAACTGTAATCACTTACCCTGGGAAAACATGCACCTTCTTTTCTGATGAAAGAAGCCTGTCTGGTGTACCCTGTACCCTGTCTAGTAGAAGTGTTCTGACTCTGGAAACTGGTAACTGCATATATATTTGGTGCGGCACCAAGAGAATAAGGAGAATTGGTGTACTCCTCAAGAGAAGTACATCCTCTATGATTCTGAGATGCACACTGGGAAAGACAGGTGGAGGTATCCCATGGTACATCTTCAATATATAGCTGTTGTCTTAAATAGAATAAACATATTGATTTTTAGTGGAACAAGTTATTCAAACACACCAATATGTTACAGTAGGAAAAGAATCACATTGTAGAAATATGTTTTTATTTGATACCATAATATGTGTGGTATTCAACTGCAACAATTTATGAAACAACTGTTATAATGTAGAAACATAGCATTCTAAAGCTGTAACAAATCACTTGGTTTATTTTGCTAAGTGTCCTTTGAGGAGGAATAAACATAAAATGACACAAAATATGGAATGAAAGCTGATTCACTAAACTCAGAAATACATGTCTTAGGTTACAAGATCCAGAATTTCTTCCATAAATTGTAAGCAGTAATATACTGAGAAAGGGAAGAAGATAGCTGGAAAATATTTCAGTTCTAAATGCTAGCGCTAGAAATTTAGATTTCTGATCAACATATAATGGAACATTATAGTGAACATCACAAGTTGTAAAAGTATCAGCATTTATCCTTAGGTGTTTGTTTTTTGGAGTAACTGACTTTAAATAGAACAGGATTTCCCCTTTAGTGGATAAATGATAAGCTATATTTTTTTCCAATAGTAAAACAATCTAACAATACAAAGGAATTGATATTTCAAAGTTTCTCTCTGTCCTCAACTATCTCCTTTCCATTTAAGCTCTCTTCTGCAATATCATTTTACAATATTCTTTAGACCTGTGGGCATCAGTTTATCCATGAACAATTCAGAGCATGTTTTGAAAGAACATATTTCATTCTTATATATTAAACTTATCATAGTCACTGGTTTACTACTAAGTACTGTACACTACTATAATAAGATTAGTACAAAATATTATTGTAAAATTTCACAAAATCTCTATATAGTAGTACTTATTGCTTCATCCTTTGATTAATAGTAAATACTGTCTTTTCCAAAATAGGTTGATCACACATTTCTGAAAGCCATTCTTTAACACTGGGAATATCACTTTATAAGATAGGGTATTTTTTCTTCTTTCTTTCTTAGTTTGTTTGGTTTTTTTAAAAATTATTTTCTTTTTTTGCTTCTATTAATTGCTTTTTTAAGTTTAAAGATTGTTTTATTAATTGTGTGTGGGGTTTTTTTTAGTGTATTTAGGTGTTAATTTTTTGTGCATAATTTGTAAATAAAACTTTTTTAAAAATCATTCTAATCCAGGAATAAATAGAAACTAATTGGATAATTACACAGTAGAAATGAAACCTGAGAGCCATTTCGGTGTAGGGGTTAAGGCATCAGCCTAGAACCCCAGAGACCATGAGTTTTAGTCCCACCTTAGGCACAAAGCCAGCTGGGTGACCTTGGGCCAGTCACTCTCCCTCAGCTCTAGGAAGCAGGCAATGGCAAACAACTTCTGAAAAACCTTGCCAAGAAAACTGCAGTTGCCAGGAGTCAAAAACTGACTCAAAGGCATGAAAAGAAAAGAAAAGAAAAGAAAAGAAAAGAAAAGAAAAGAAAAGAAAAGAAAAGAAAAGCCTATTAAGAATGCAGTACTATTACTAGGTCTACAAGTGAAAAGGGCCTGTATTGCAATGAACGTGCAGTATGGTTTACAGAGACAATCAGTCCAATTTATAAGATAACAAGACTCAAATGACAGTTTAGTATTTGGCTGCCCTTGTTTGCAGTTGAAATCAATATCCTAATCCAACCTTCAGAGTTAGGGATGAGAAATTAGCCCTAATTTGTACTGTATGAGGAAAATAGCCACATGCCGCTTAGTTGCACGCATTTAAATGTATAAATATTTGTTACTTTGTAATACTAAGATTTTTAATTACCCCCCCAAAATAAAAGAAACTTTCTTTTATTTTGGAGTGGTAAGGAGAATTCACGCAGTAGGGTTAACATAAATCAATGTAGTATAATTTCCCTTACATTCTAATGGGATATTTTTAGTAGCAGATTCATTTATTCATTCATTCATTCAATTTCTATGGCCACCCATTTCAAACAAGTGACTCTGGGTGGCAAACAATCATAAAAATCACGGATTGGCGTAAGGGCTATAAGAGCCTTGGCAGAGCCTCCAGTTGAGGGGGTGGGCTGAAACTGGGAGGGGCTGCCCATCAACAGTAAACCCAGGGCAATTGCTTCTCAATTCTGCCTTGGATCAGGGCATAGATAGAAGAATTCAGGAACAAGAAGCTATTCCACAGATAATAAAAGAAAGACATTTAGGGATGAGAAAAAGCCCTAAGTCACCCATCAATTTTGAAATGTATCATGAGAAATAAATTTAATACTGTAACCTAAAATACTGAAAGAACATATCAATTATGTCACACAGAGTTATTGTGAAAATGGGGAGCCAGATACATTGCTTAAATAAATAAATAACCAAATAACGTAATTTGCCAAACCACTTAGAAAACTGAATTCAAGAACTTGGAAAGTTAATAGTTTCCTCAAAGATGAAATGTAAAAGGATGCATACTTATCCACTGGTGGCTCCTGAACATATGGGTAACATGTAGTATAATATCCAGGAAAGACACATGCTTCTGAGGGCTCTGACCATGCCACTGTTACTGCTGCAAATTTGGGGACAAATGGTTTGACCTCTGCTGATAACTTGATGCCCTGATATATAAAACAGTTTTTTGGTTATATATATGTTGGGATTATCCACAATAAGTGAAAAACCTTGTCTATGTACATGACAGAAAAAATGATTCTTCTGTTCTTCAAACAAATATGAAGAAATTAAAGTGGTAGCTATACATTCAAAACTGCATCAAGAAGTTAATGGCTTAAGCAAATAGGTGCTTTAAAGATATGTACACATACTTATCTAACACTATTTATATTGCATGGAATACAAAAGCTGGTTTTCTATCAATTTCAATTATCTCTTGATAATGAACAGCAGCAGAAAGGACATTATAGCCAGTACAGACACAGTGCCTTTCTATCTTTGCTATTAAATGAAGTTAAAAGACTCTCTGTAGGCTTTAAGTCCATACACTTCCTCCTTTTCCTCAATCTCTCTTCTTCTGCAGGAATCTTCCTAATTTCCTTTTACCCCAGTTAAGATCTTGCACTACAAGTTTAAATGTCAGATGTAATTTAAAGTGAAAGAAAGAGAAGAAGTTTTGAAAGAGGAAATGTGATCTTATTACACACTCCAATACCTTAATCCTAGTATATGTATCTGTGTCTATGTTGTATGCATGTTTGCCTATATATGTGTGTGTAGAGAAAAAGAGAGTCAGCATGGTGTAGCAGTTAAGGTGCTGGACTAGGAGCAGGGAGACCAGGACCTCCCTGAGGCACGGAAGCCAGCTGGGTGACTTTGGGCCAGTCACTGTCTCAGTCCTAGCACAGGAAGTCAAAAAATATCTATCTACCAATCCACACTGGACCACCACAGTAGATTACAGTCCAATGAAAAGGCGTTCATCCTGCAGTGGGTTGATTCGGGCTGAAAACAGTAATACACATAGACACTGTAGTACATCTGCATTGTCCCTATGTTATCTTTCATTTATAAAGGAGAAACCAAACTGAAGCAAGGCACTCAGCTAGCAATCAAATGCACATTCACTGTGCACCCTCTAGTGGTTATTTACACAACTCTAGAGACACTACATGGAACTTAAGATTTCAGTTCAGAATATGAATTATTATTACTACACTTGAACTTTGCCAAAGGCTAAGAAGCGATAAATAATTCCCTTCTGCTCCATCCCATTCCATGAAGAATATATCCTGAATGAAAAAAATAATCGGCATCTTAAAGGCTAACAGGCTTAATCCTGAACGAAATTTGATAAGCAAAACAGTCAAAACACCCTAGGGAGTGCACCAATGGTTGTAAAAACTCATGCCACAATAAAACAACTAACATATGTTTCAAATTTATATAATTAGCATATTATTAGCTTTTTTTAAACTCAAGACACTTTGGGTCAGTAATGTGACTGAGAATGGAAAAGCAGCAAGAGAAAGTTAAACTTTTGGTGTGCTTTGGATCCCTTCAATTAAACCAATCTATCAGGAGCACCTGCCCTCTGGAATGATATTCTCCAGACATTTATGTAGCTCCCACTCAGATAATCTTCTGGAAGTCTTTAAAAAAACTGACTGTTTTCCTAGCCCTGGGGTAGGCTGTTTGTGGACTGTTTGTGGCTGTTTTTTTATGTTTTCTATTTGATGAAGGTGTTTGTCTGGACATATGGGATTTCCTTTCTATTGTTTTCTTTCTATTGTTTCTTATTGTTAGCATAAGCTACCCAGAGTCACTTTGGAGTTGGTTGGCCTCTATATCAAATAAATAAATAAAATAAATAATGTACCCACTTCCCTACCACATATTATATACTATCTTTTCAGCTTCCTGTAGAGCTTTAAAAGCACATATTAATTTAAAATGAGGTTCTATAACCTGATACTATTATATTTCTGAAATATTATTCCCAGTGGTAAATTCTGGTATCTCTGCAAAAAAAAAAACAGGTTCCAGAGACAACTTTTTGTGACTGCTACAAAACAAACTGTTTGTTTAATGTGGTCAATGACAAGTCAATGTTTAGAGGTATATCTTTTGAGACCAGTCATATGTAGCTAGATGCTGCCACCTTCTAGAATGCAATACACCACCTCTTCATTTAACAACTGCAATTTGTTCCTTAAATTGGAAGCGAAATGGTTGCTAAGCGAACATGTGACTGAGAGAGGCTGCAAAGATCACTGGTTGCTGCCATCTTTCAGATAAAGTTCTCTCGTGCAGCATCGCCAGCATTACTCTCACTCCAGCATGCACTGTTGTTGGGCACATGAAATTTGGTTGTGAGCGCACTGGTCAGAAAATGATCTTTTTTAAGTCATATTTGCAAACAGTTGCTAAAAGAGGTAGATGCTAAATAAGGAGTGGTTGTATTATAGATTAAATAGTGAACAGAAAAGCCTCATTCCAGGCAATACTTCCTAAACTAACTACTATCATTCTCTTTCCCTGCCCCTTTAAACAGATGTGCCAATATTTTCAACTAGACTTCTTTTAACGAACAGCAGATGGCAGAACCTAGCCAAAAACAATGGCAAATAATCTGTATATTATTACCAAGAAAATTATATGTTTGCACATTCACATACTTCCTGGGAGTTGTGCTCAGTTTCAGGAAGCTTTTATGCTTATTTTAGTCAGCTTATTTGAAGTCATTTACATTTACAAATGGAATTATAATACCGATTTGTATTGTAAGGTACCTATATTGTCTTCCATACAAGTCTTGAAAGTCAGATAATAAATATATTAACTGAATAAAATAAATAGATTCCTTTTATTGGAAAAAGCACTGGCTACAGAACTTTAGCTTTTTGTGAGAGGTTTTGCCATTAAAATACAGAGCTTCCTTGAAAAACAAAGGAATGGAGAGAAATGGCAGCCTTTTTATGACTGCTTTAGAGAACTGAAATTAGGTGCAAGGCCATTACAGGTATTGAAAAAAAAATAGTTCAAAAGGCAAGATTCATTTTAACTTTAGCCATCTTGGAGGTGGAATGGAATGCATTAATTTACTGTAATGATAATGGCTGCAGTATATTAGTTACGTTCACAGAAAATTTTAACCATAAACCATGGTTTTCGGGCTTTCCACTGCAGTTTCTTAACTATTAGCGTGTTGTGAAAACACACTCAAGATGTGCCTTCCTAAAACGTCACTGGCTGCGCCCACTAGAACTTCACTTCTATTTGCTGCGCGCTCCCTCTTTTCCTTCCGCAGAAAAGAAACGAACCCCCCACTGGAAATTAAAGACAGTCATCTACACCTTCACTTCGAGACACCCGCTACGATGTGTACAAGCGACGTGCTTTACCAGGAAGCAACCTCAGACAGAGGCTTCCTTTTCTTTGTCTTTACCGGGATCGCGGGGGGAGGGTAAGTTCTCACTGCCGGTTACATAACAACGGCTAGGGACACTTAAAGAAAAGCCGGTCTTTATTTTTCGTTCTCCGCAGACCCAGCCTGACCGCCGTTTCCCCGCTTACCTCACTGCCCGCTTCCCGTTCTGAAGCCATGGCGGGGGAAAAAGAAAGGGGCAGTCAAAGGTCAATGCCTCGCTAACGGCGACTTCCACCCTACCCTCCACCACAAACCCAGCTGGCGCGCACAAAAGCCGTCGAGGCAGCGACGCTTGAGTGTCTTGGGCTCATGGCCAATCAGCAGCGCAACTTCCGTCATATGACGGTTGTCATGACGCCAGAGGCAAAGAGAAAATTGTAGACGGAAGTTTTCGAACGTTCTCTCAAGAAAATCGCGCCGGCTCACGGTTGCGCGGGAGCGGACTCACATCCAGCTTCAGAGGGGGACCAGCAGAGCGAACAGTAGTAAAAGAGTCCTTGGAACGCAGTGCTCCGAGGGGAACTAATAAAAGCCTTGGCTTCTGAAACTACATAAAACGCTAGTATCCTATTTCTGGAAGTTTATAACATTACTTCAATAGGCGCCTCTTTTTCCTTCAGAATTACGTCACATAGCACCCTATACATCTGAATTGCCCTGGGAAGCTGCTTTTTCATTTCGCGCTTGATTTTTCTTTCTTTTTTAATCTGTTCAGTCATGCCCGATTCTTGGAGACTTGCCTGGATAAGTCCCTGCCGTTTTCCTGGCAAGGTTTTTCAGAAGTGGTTTGCCATTGCCTCCTTCCCAGGGCTGAGAGAAAGTGACAGGCCCAAGGTCACCCAGCTGGCTTTGTCCCTAGGTGGGACTAGAACTCATGGTCTCCTGGTTTCTAGCCTGATGCCTTAACTACTGCACTAAACATGCGCACTCTCCGCTCCATCCTCAGCATTCATTGGCAAGATTGTGACTCCAGCCTGGAGGTCTTGAATTGTGCAGATTCCACCAGCATTGAGTCCGATTAGCAGAGCCCAGATGTGCTGGGTGGGAACGTCATCAAAATGACAATATGCCTTGCCAGTTGCTCTATAGTGTACTGGAATCTTGGGACTTCGAGGTTGACCATGCAAGCACTACAAAGACCCCACACCACTGTGACATCCAGCCAAGGGAACTAAAAGCTGTGGCTGCTGCCAGAACCCACTGGTGAGCCCTGTGCTATGAAGCCTCCACAGGCTTTGAAGACAGGCGCTGCCAAAAACTGAAAGAAAACCATGAGTGGTGTCACAGAATAACACCCAGTTACACAACAGTGGACTTCCAATGCTCACATTGGGCTAGATTCTGCGCTTCCAGACTGGGACTGCAGATCCACCTCTGTCTGCAGATGAACTGCACAGCAGTGTGTCTTCTTCAAACCCAAGACTACCATATATAATGTATCAGTAATATCTCATCTATAATTAACATTTGAATTTTCTAAAGAGGACATTCTAGGGAGCTGGTTGCCTCATCTAATGCACTACACATATTTTGAGTGTATATTTCAACTTTTTGGGGGGGCTCAGGGGGGCTTTTACATGTAGTCTCTTCTCATTCACCCTCTTCAACAATTCTGTGAGAAGTTGTATTGAATGAGCTCTAGATGAATGGGGATTTGAGCCTGAGGGTTCAAGGTTCAATACCTTTGGGCGCAAATACATTCAATACAGGCACAACACATAAAGGACTTCAGATTAGTTCAGAAAAGAGAATCAGTATACCAAATGCTCACGGAAAACAACACTTTAAAACAATAACACAGAAAATGTGGTAGTACTCCCCTTTTTTTTAGTTCACCCTTTTAGAAAAGGGTGAGTTCCACCAGTAAGCTCTGAAAATGAAGCAGGATTGAATAGAATTGTAAAATTGGAAGGGACCATAAAGATCATCTAAGTCCAGCCCTGCATGATGTGCAGGAAAACCAATTAAACCATCCATGAGGTGACTGTCCAGCTTCTTAAAAATCTCAAGAGGTGGAACACCCACAACCTCCACAAGTAGCCTGTTTCACTGTTGTAAAGATCTGTTAGGAAATTTTCCTTTATAAATATCCAGGTAGCTGCAACATATACCTATTTCTGGTCAGTTTCTGTGGCCATGGAAGTTTTCAACCACCTTCCCTGTGGCTTCCATTTTCACTCCTGAACACAGCTATCATGCCTCCCTTCAGTCTTTTTTTTCTCCAGACAACCCAAGTTCCTTCAGGCCATTTTCATAAAGCATATCCTCACACCTTTGTACAATTTTCACTGTCCTCTAAATCCTCTAACTTGTCAATATCCTTCAGGAAATGTAGAGCCGAGAATTATACATGGAATTCCAGATGTGATCGCACCAGTACCAAAAGGAATGACTTCATGCATCCTTGAGACAATGTTTTTTTTTAATGCAGGCCAGGACTATTAACTTTTCTAGTGGATGTCTCATATTGCTGACTCATGTTCAATGACCACACCCAAGTCCTACTCAGATGTAGTATTTCCAAACTATTAATTCCCCATTTTGTATGCAAGTCCTACATTTTTTCCTCCCTAAATGTAATACCTTAACAGTTACCTGTTAAAGGATATCTTGTTACTCTCAGCTCAGTCTTCCAAACTGTTGAACTCTGAGATTGATAGAAGCATGGTCATGGAATATCTACTTAAGTTTAAATCTCCAGGATCAGATGAATTGCATCCTAGAGGATTTAAGGAATCTGCTATAACCTGACCAAACATTTATCCTTGAGAAAGTGCCAGACTACTGGAACAGGTCATCCCAATTCTTGAAAAGGGGAGAAAGAATTCCCGGAAGAGGAAGACCTTCACTCTAACATCAGCACTGGGGAAGATTCTAGAGATCATAGAGCAATTGATCCATAAGCATCTTGGAAACAAGTCACTACCACAAGTCAATAAGTATCTGTCAAAAAGTTTTGCCCAACTTTTTTTTTTTTTTTTTGAGAGAGATGGGTAACTTTCTTAGTTTCACAGTAGAGGGTATTTATGGCTTTAGCTGATCAATCAGGAAATCTCAGGGCTATAGGCTAGACTGGGAAATAAACAAAAGACCCTAGAAGGAAGCTGTCATTAAAAAATATGGACAGCTTTTCTTATGCAATATGGAAATTGTACTGAGAAAATAAAATTCATGAAACACATACCAAAATCTAATTTTAAAAACAGGTTTATTTAATCAGACCTATTTTAGGAGTTGAAAAGCCACAGGATGAATTGCTCTGTTATAGAAAGATACATTACTAATATAACCCAAAGATAATTGAAGATTTTATAATCAACACGTTACATGTAAGTTGTAAACTTTATTGAACAAAATTGACAAGAGCAAATAGGCACTTGTTAACGATGAGAGTTCAAGATCATAGCAGCCAACTTAGTTTGCATTTTACTGAGCTCTGTTGCTGTGAATAATACAGCTCATGCACAGGTAATGACTTATTTGTACATTTTTCTCAAGTATTCACTGAATACTACCAACATATATACATTTATACATAAAGTTCCAGAAATTTAGAGAAGTTATTTTTGTTGGCCTTTTGGAAGTGGTCTTCTAAAAAGAAGGATATGTGGTTCTGTAAAGAAAAAAACAGAAATTTGTTTATGACTTGTGAAAACTTATGCTTGTCCACTGTGCAGATTAAACCCATTCCTTTATTTATCACTGCCATTGTAACTGAACTGGGAGGGATAATCCCCCTTCAAATATGTAACATGAGCCACCAGTCCAATATGTTAAAAATAAACTGTGAAGTCACAGCATAATTTCACAATATCAAATTTAACTGTAAAATGTTTATTAAAGATATGGGCTGAGGGAGAATAAGAGATAGCATAATGAAACAAAATGTATTCTAAATATTCTGCAGCAGAGTTATAACGTGATTTTACAACCAAAGTTTACTTCTCCAAAGCGAGGACTATAAAATTCAGCTGAACAGAAATGTTTTGACACAAACTTGAGAAATGTGTGGCAATATCCCTTTCAACCTAGGATCGTTTCCATTTGGTTTTTTCCCTTCAATTCTGATATGACAGGAGAGGGAATTGACTACAGATGAATTACACTCTCCATCTAGTAATAGATATACACACATACAATTCAGTTTACACATAGTCCCCTCATTCACATCAGCACAACATGAAGTCTACAGGGAAAATATTTTCTAAAAATGTAGCATTTGCATTTATTGATAATTCCTTTTACCTGGTTCATGAATCATATAGTGGACCCAGCCAAGACTTTGCTGAACACCAAGTCTTCTCCATTCTTCTTCAGTCATTAGATGTGTTTTTGGTACTTGCTTTGAGAGCTCTCTTGGTAGCATCACATGCCTATCAGGATTAAAATGTAGACATCACAGATAACTCACATAAAATGCCTAGTTTTGGCTCAACATGCATTAACCCAGCCATAAGTAACGTAAGGAAATTTTCTATAAAAACTCACTGCCTTTAGGAAGTGATTGAAATTCTTTACAATTGTGCCAATATTTTGCTTAAGCTGAAGTTATATCATCAACAATGGCACTATTATGTTTTTAAAGTAATGTCCAATATTATTTTAAATTTCCAGTTCCACAGAGTAGTCTTCAACATTCACAATCAAACTGCTACTCCAAATCTAGAAGATGCACGAGAAAGCACTAGTGCAGCCAACGCCCACTCAGCCATGAAGTTCTCTGAGGGTTACCCCTTCATCAGCCGTTATTTATTTTTATCTTCCCAGCAATGCTGCGGTCAGGATAAAGAGCTCAGGTGGAAGGAGAGAAAAGGTACTCCCTCAGAGGTCGAACCTATGAAAACGTAGTGCAGCTACAGGCGGTCATTTTAGCAACGCCTCAGCTCTTTTGGCGGCGGCTTCTATAAAACTAGTACCGGGGCAGAGAGAGATAAGAGCTTTCGGGCATTGATACCGCCTTTCCCGGTGCCTCCTCAATAACCCCTGAAGCCCTTCTGCTCACCCTTTTGTTACAAGCTGCTGGAGTGGCCAACCGCTCGCCGTCTCGCTTGTGTGTATCGAGGCAAAGACAAATGAAGAGATCGAAATTCGACTTCAACTATTTCCCTCCCCCGCCCCCCCCCAACGAAGCAACGAGAACTTCCCCGTTTTCGCACCGGTATTCGTAGTTCTCGTCGAAGTATTTATCCGAATAATAGATCTGCTTATGAGCCATTATGAAGGGAATGGCGATGGCGGCGGCCGCCGC